TCCTGTTGTGAGAGTGTTCCCACTATTTCTTGCTGTGCAGCAGAAGATACAGCTATTTTAAGTCATAAAAATCTTAGACTGTTTTTTCTTAGCCTAGGAGCCAGAATCAAGAGAAAGGTCAGGAGACAATTCAGAGAGCCAGGCAGGCAACACTGTTAGGCATCACCTCCTTTCCTTCCTCTCAGAAGAATGGTAATGGATTACAGTTACCACTTGAAATAATGTTTATTAACCAGGGAAGCGGCTAATCGGCTAATTACCTTTGATTGCAGGCAACACTCAGCAAAAGAGTGAATTTTTCCTACTTCTGAATAAGTGAGCTGCCAATGCTGGGGAGGGGGGAAGAGCGAGAGAGGGAGGGCAGGAAATTCCTGGTGCCGTGAGATTGCTCTGGACCCAGGGTGCTGTCACCGTGGGAATGAAACAGCGACATTCCCATGCCTAGTTTTGAGCCTCTGGGTTTTGCTAGTGCAAAAAAGGGATTTATCCAGTGAATCATTCAGGGCACCTATTTTAGGCTGTAACTCTGAACTGTCCTGTGGAGAAACTCCTCTCATTTACAGCGTATGCATAATGTCTACTGTCTCCTAAACAGGATCTATAAATACCCCATCATACACATCAAGAAAGGAGAAAATACGTGCCCATAGGAAGCATCTCTAAACAAATCATCCTAATAAGAAATAGGGAACTGACTTACTTACATAAAACTCTGAAATATTTTTTTAAGTTAAGATAATATTTTCTTGTTAGATGTTAAGGTGATGATCAGTATGGGAAATAAACACATTTTCAAAACAAACTTGAACTCAGTAGTGCTATCATTAATGTATATTCTCCTCCATGTCCCGTTGCTGACTTCCACTGCGTAATTACTACGTTACAGCACTTAGGCTGTGGCAAGCAAAATACTGCAGGCAGAGAATACAGTTTTAGACTGCAGCATATATGTCACATCCTCTCAAAGGCCAGAAATCTGCAATTACATGCTGAAATATTGCCCCACTTACCAACTGATATGGTCCAAACAGCAATTATTTTTGCAAAAGCCTTAGTTCTTGAGTTAAACCGGCTGTGATGGATGGGGTTTCGAATGGCAATATAGCGATCCAGTGAGATGGCACAGAGGTGCATGATGGAGGCAGTGGAGAAAAGCACGTCCAAGTAGATCCAGACAGCACAGAGCTTTGTAGGCAGAGGCCATGTGTATCCTGCACACAAGAAAGTTAACATGAGCTAAGAATGTGGCATACATCTTTTGTTGTGACACGTATGTCTTATTGCATGTACCCTGCTAGGAGGAGCTGGTAGTAAGTGATGCGTTCAATAGAAGCTGCCTGGCAGTGTTTTAAGAAGCCTTTTTTATTTGCTTGCAACCTTCTAACTCCGTAGCTTTTTGGATTAACTCTCCTTCTTCCCCAGGCTACAGGCAGTGTAAGTTTGTTTCTTTTTAATTCTATTTGCATAACTCTAGTGCTTGATGTTATAATTAACCATCTCTGGCAGCAAATCTATGGAAAGAGAAGCAATTTTGTCATTGTAAACCTGTAAGTTCTCAATTTTATTTTAGGACTTTTTATCCACGTAATTACTGCATTATTAACACCTGCTGATTCTAAAGCTGAAACTTTAGATTTAGTGGCAGCTGAAGAAAGAAATGTATTTTGTTGTATACCAGTGATATTTATCTCGCCTGTCTTTAGGCAACTACCACGTACTTAAATAAGGATATGCTCTTTATCAATGAATATTGATAGACTCCTCCAGAGAGAGCAATCCAAAGCAAACATATGAATGTTTACCCATATCCAACTTTTATCTTCTTTGCTGCAAATTAAGCCTCCCCCTTATCCTTGTTCTTTCCAATAGCCATGAAGAATAATTGATGGCTCTCCTTTCTAGAAGCTATTGGAAGATGGCTATCATGTCTTGCCTAGTTGTTTGGGTTTTTTAACTCACCCAGACTAAGTAAAGCCAATTCCTTTATCTTTTGCTTACAGATGATACTTCTAAAACTTTTGTGCTTCTTGTTTGTCTGCCCTGGAATCTATTTAATTTATCCATATCTTGCTTATCATTCAGTAACCAAAACAGGACTCGATACTTTTGCAAAGCCCTCCCAAATGCTAAGTGAAATACAAGATTGCTTCACAGGTCTTGCAGGGAATAATCTTACTTACAAAACCTGGAATGGTAAGTGCCTTTTGTATAAAAATCCCATACTATTGATGCATGCTTAGCTTATGATCCTGTTCAGCATTCCTAAAGCCTGGACAAATTTCCCCAGCAGTAGTTGGTTTGCTATTGTTTTCCTAAGTTGATATTTTTGCATTTATCCTCACTGTATGTTGTTTGCTCATTTGACTTTCTCTTCAGGGGTCCAGATGATTGTTGGTGATTCTGGTCCAGTCCCTCTGACTGCTTGTAACCTCTTCCAGCTTGGAGCTTTTGGAAAGCTGTGTAAGCTCACACTCTATTCACTATACAAGTTGCTAGCAGCAGCACTAAGCAGACCCAGGCTAAGCAAAGCCCTTCAGGATCTCCATTCAAAGGCCCTTTTAGTCCTTCAGGGAACCAATAATAACTCCCCTTGGAGCAAGTTTTACAGTTATCCATGTCCTTATCTTGTGGTGATTTAATTTAGAGTATATTACCCAAGGTGTCCATGACAGTGCAGCATTGGGCAATGCCAAAGCTGGTATTATGAGAACACACTAGTATTTTTGGGACTGCCTGACTCCTTTGGAGATGCAGTACAAGATCTGCAAAAGCAGGAACAGAGGGAAAGGCAGAGGAGCTAGGTCTGTGTCTAACTAAATTTAGTCTCAGTAAGCACTGAGACCTATTTCTTGGTGCTCTTGGACTGCTGTAATATGAGCTGACCTTGACAAGCCATACAATATTTATGGATATGCTTTATCTTGTTTCCTGATCTTCCAGTGGGGAATCTGGTCTCTGGAATGTGTTATGTGGGGTCTGGCTTTCAGGGGCATGTCTTCCAACAGTATCTATCTGTCAGGACAGGACAGTTTACACAGGGAAAAGTGATAAAGTATTTTTACACTTGACAACATACATCTGTTCTTTTGCTTCAGTGGCCTTTGGGACCAAATTTGTCATATCCTTCTAGATGTCTTGTCCTTGCTCTAAACTTGGATGGGGCAGGGATAAAACAGCACCCATTTTATGTGGCAGACATTATGTGGACATTTTATGTGGAGCATGGCACAGGGCACCTTTGCCTTGTGCCGTGCTTCGGCCACTGTCGAAGTCACCCCTCATCATATCCAAGGGGAAACAAAACTAAATACAACCAGCTGCAATTTAAAGATTGGGTAGGCAGGGCAAGTTTTAAAAGTTCCATGATTTCATATGGTCCATGGGAGCTCATGCAGTTCCAGGAGCTCACATAAGGCAGTACCACCTAAGGGACAGGCAAGTGATGCTCGGGCACCTATACATTTTCAGGTTGAGAGACTAATAGGGAGGGCAGGTAGACCCTCGAATGAGCTAAGATTTTCTTCCTGATGTAGCTAGATAGTAGTGACGGGGAGAGGAGAAATGTTTTCTCACAAGGCCTTTCAGGTGAGGAGGCAAACAAGCCAAGCTGGCCAGGATGTCTGGGCTGCTGCTTTGTTGGTAACAGGAAGTGCATGAAAAATGTTTTGAGAGAAAGACTAAGGAATTGCTCTAAGGAAAGAAGAGAGGAGAGTCCATAGGCATGGGCAGTTGCTGAGGAGCAACTGTCCTGCTTTATCAGAAGCACATCAGCTGAGACCACATCTGGGGTCAGCACTGGGGTGGACAGGAGCCCTCTGACATGCCTGGTTCTTCCACTGCAGCAAGGAGTTACCTAGCATCTGCCAATAATCCTGACAGCTGCTCCATGCTGTTGCTGCCACTCCACAGTGTGGGACAAGCCTCCGAGGCAGGAGCAACAGGCATGCAGCAGCCTATGTGCTTCTGGGTGGGAACCAGCAGCGTTGTTCATCTTTGTGAGTTCAGGTGCCCAGCCACACCTGGCTTAGAGGGTGCCTCAGCAGAGCAAGGTACGTGAAAAGGCCCCCAGTTTGGGCTCAGGGCTGACAACGTAAGTGACCTGGCTGAAGTGGGGTGGCTGAGGTTGAGCAAATGCTCCTGTGTAAAGGGACGGCACTCTGTGCCGTCGCTGGTTGTCCTGGAGATTGATGATGCACTGTGATGAGGTGGTTCTTCTGGTATCTGCATACAACACCAGATGATTTTTCACCCCAAGTTACCCTGCAAAGACCTCCCCTCCTTGGTCTTGCAACGGAAAAAGCAAAGCTAACACACTCCCTCCCCTATGGCTTTAAGTGCCTGCTACTCCTCCACACCGGTGATTGCAAAGGAGGGGAAGGCAGCCTTCCTCCACAACCATCTTTGTGAGTGTTCTGCTCTGGGGGCACATCCGCCCTGGCAGCATCTGCTGAGCGTCTTTTTCCAGCAAAGGCTGGTGCTGCTGGGTGGATGGAGAAGCCTTCCTGGCCCAAAGGGTGCAGGCTGGGACAGGCACGGGACAGCCGTGGCGGGGCACCTGAACGGGAACCCCCCGTAACAGCTTCATCTTCCCGGTGTGCAGGAAATCCTGCGTCCCGACCTCCCAATCACTTCCGAGCCGCGGGTTTTGGGCGCCCTTTTCCCCGGCACAGAGCTTGGCCAGCAGGAGTCCCTGTTGCATGTGGCAGGGAGTCACACAGGCGCTTACAGGGTTTGCTCATCTCACACATGGGACGATTTCTGCTCCCGCGGTTCTGTTTTACGCTGTTTCTCCCACCAAAGATAATTGCATCAGTCATACAATAAATCCCAACAATTTTGCATCACTTTTTGCACACATCATTTGCTGTTTGCAAATGCTACTGAGGGCAATCTCTGTAGAAATACCGAAACTGGGAAATAAACTTCCAGTTTTCTGGTTGAAATCTCTCAACTCACAGGCTCATGCATAGACTGTTAGTCCCCAAATAGTGAAGCAATAGAAAGCTTTGTAAACAACAACACTTTCCTCCTGGCGTTGTCTGGCTTCTCCTTGAACTGTGGCAATTCAGTTATGGCAGTGGAAAACTCATTTCTCTAAGTTTAGGGATTATAACAGCCTGACAGTATTGGCACTGAACACATAAGCTGCTGCTTTTTTCTATGTGAGCTCTGCTGCAAATAATTTTGGTGAAAATGAGAAGAAAGATCTGCTATTAATCACCTGCAAGGGTATGACCTGTGAGTCATTATTCACTTAATTCTTAAATAACTTCTCTTAAGAAATCATAGCTTTGCAGTTGTAAATGTTACTAAAAATTAGGCAGAATTAATTCCCATCCATTTTTTCTAACTCCTACAATATTTATTCCAGCATTTGCTGCTGTACAGATGTCTAAGAAGGGTGTTGATGTTAAGAGAATTATTTACATTTGTATTACTTCATTTAAACAAATTAAAGGCGTTGCCTACTTTGAATCTAAAGGTAATTATTAGTGCTTCTGTGCATATTTGCAGATCAAAGTAACTGGCAGGAACCTACATTCTCATTAGGAATATTGAAAATCATGAGCCAGGGTTAAAACTGAAAGAATAGAGAGACATCTGAGTAATAAATTAATGTTCTGGACTGTGTTTAAAATGCCTGTAACTAGAAATGTAAAGCAGGAAAAGATACAAGTACTTCACCTATTCTTACATCCATTAACCAGTTACATATATTTCAACTTGTATGGAGTGATTACAATTTTTTGTGGTAAGACAATAAAGTAATGATAATAACATGTGCATGCAATGTTTAAAGCTTCTCAAAACATGCAGCAGGTTACAAAGCTAATACTCACCGTAAAGTATGGTTAACATTGACACAGGCATGACAAGGAAACCCAGCAGCATATCGGCTATTGCGAGTGACATTAGGAAATAGTTAGTGGCATTCTGTAGTTTTTTCTCCAGTGACACAGCCATGATGACAAGAATATTTCCAGCAATGGTTAAAACAATCACTATCACTGTCAGCAAAGCTGGCCAGTTTTTCTGTGAAAGCTGAAACAGGGAAGGGTAGCACGGTGGACTCATGTTATTTTCACAAGAAAGATTGGTTAGGTTTTCAGAGTCCACAGTCAAGTTAAAGAGATGTGATATATTAATCTCTCCAGCTCCATAAACATTTCTGTAGAGTCTTCTCTCATGATTTATTTGTATTAAGGAGTTTGCAGTTGGGTTCACAGAGCTGTCCTCATCAGGAAGAATATCCATTGCTAAGTCTGAAACTGTTGAGATAAATAGTGAAAAGTAGGAGATTTTCACCCTCTGTCACCATCGGGCTTTATATTCCTCAGTTGTCCATGCCAGAAGTTGAAGGAGCACAATCTTTTGCCACTAGCATGATGTAGAAAAACATACCAGAATTACTCCGAAAGCTGAAATGTTTTGTTCTCAGTTCCATAGGAAGTCCATTGTTGGCACACATTGAAAATCCAGCTGAAAAGCAAAACCAAGCTGTAGGATAGAGAATGTGGACTTGAGGCTTCAGAGAGCAAAAATGTTGGAGAAATAAAAGAGAAAAAACTTTTGCAACCACTAGGACTCCCCTCTGGAGCTACATCTTATTGCTATTGGTAACTGTAATCACCCAATTTTAAACACAGCAGTATTAAAATAGCTTGCGATACAAAACAACAGAGCTCTCACTTCCCTATTAAGAAAGTTGATTAAAGATTCCATCCAGCATCTTTCTCTTGAAATAATTAGATATGCTCTTATTTATAGATCATCTTCCATAATATGGTCATAAGTCTCTGACTTCTGTTGTATTTCAGTATAATTTTCAGCCTCATATCAGAGATTACACATTCTGCTCCATGCTCATCCTTATAGCTAATTGTACCTTTTGGCCCAGCCTGGCTTCAGAATGGAAATTAAACAACTACATGCTATGATAAAAAAAAATACAATTTAAGGAAGACTTACATTGTACTTCAGAGCCCACTCTCAAACTGCAATTAGGTGCGCTTTGTACCCTGATTTACCATGTTCTTCACTGTGTTTAGCCAGTTTTGTGTCCTTTTTCTTCAGTCTTCTCCAAGGTGGTGGTATTTGGAATAGTTTTTTTGACTTCTAAACTGCACACTTGAGTGAAGCCAGTTCCTGCGCTTTGAGGCTTGCTCTTTTCTTCTGAGAGATAGGCTGCTTGCTGACTCCTTCCTCGTGCATTTCCCCGCCCCAGGGCAAGCTATATTTAAAGTAATAATAATATCAGAGCCCTTCTCGAAGTGACACAAAAGCACACACACACACACAAAAAGGCAGCCTGCACGGAGGAATTACTGATTTCAACAGGAATGGAATTTCTTGCTCACTGCCTTGTTCGGTTTGTCAGACCTCCCACTATCTGGATGTCATAAATTGCAAGGTAGCAACGGCAGAGGAGGGCAGGGGCGGGCAGACCAAAGAGGGTCTTTTTGGTAAACTAGCAGCTTTTGCAGTGTGTATTTCGGGGGTCCGTTGCTTGTGTACTTTTTCAGGGCACACTTTCCATTTGCAGAGGATGGCTTGCAAACACATGCAATTACAGTGTTTTACAGGATGCAGGATTAAAAGAGACAAAGTCTAATGCTTTCAATGGTAGATACTAGTGAAAAATGTAAGTGTGAAGTTTTCCATGTAGAGGGGGTATTATGCCAGCCTTAAAAGGAAGGAGTAATATTTAATCCCCTTCAGTTTTAACTCCAGGTCTGTGCTGACATGTTAATCAATTTGGCAATGGATATTTATAAAAATTGAAGTCACTCTGATGTCATGCACATTTCTCAAGAAATTGATGTAATAGTTAACTCTAGCAGCCCAAGTAAGTGTCCTAGATGAAGCAGTTCAGTAAAGGAAAACGGTATAGAGCAGAGGGGGAAACAAAACAGCCTTCCACCCTTTCTGCCTCCTACTTCTGCTGCCAGGACATGGGTGAAGAGGTAGGCAACTCTTCACTTTGCCACGTTACTCCTTGGTTTTTTGAGACTTGTGGTTGTCAAAATGTCAGCTGAGTGGGTCTGCTGCTCCCCTGCCCATCCTGAAATATACTGCACATTTCCATCATGTAGAGGGCAATGGATTTACACAGGCAGGTTCAGGCAGATTGCAGATCAGAGAGGTGCAAGTGTCACCAGGCACTGGCGTATCCTGGTGTGCACACAGGAGCTGCAGCATGCACCCATAGCTCAGCTCTGTGTGCAGCACCACTAACCCATGGGGATCCCAGGGGAGTGCAAACACATGGAGAGTTACTACAGCTCAGCTGACATTTGCTGATCTCTTCAGGGGTCAAAACCTTACTAAAGCAAGTCTTGGAGCACCCACCAAAGAACATCTAGATCATTAAGGCACTACTACAGGAAGTTTTTCCCGGTAAGTTCCTTTGGAGCCGGTTTTGCTCCCAGCTGAGTGCAGAACAACAGCCATCACAGCAGGATGGAGCAGCCAGGCAGTAGCTTCTACTGATGCCCACATGGGAGTTGGAAATGAGTCACAGTCCCATAGGAGACGCCAGAAGACTATCAGGCAACACAAGCTAGCAAAAAGGGCTGATAATGCTGAGTTTAGCAAGAAATACTTCAGCCCTGGCAGTCCTGTCCAGGAGCCAGAAGAGGCCCTTTCCCTCTCTCCTTTAATATGATAATTGAACAGGTTACTATATTCACAAAGTCAATTTTGTATCCATGCTTCAGAGGTTCATCAGCTGTCCCTGTGAAGGTGCAATAGACGTGAGAGTGCAGATGTGCTGCAAGTTGGGATCTGCTTCTGTTGAGCATGGCTACTGTGCAAAACGAGGCACAGGACCCCTTGGCTAGGGTTATAATCCTTTGTGAGGAACCCAGGTGTCCTGTTATTTACTCAGATGGCTCCCCCAGGCTCTAACAACTCTAATGTAACAGTCATGGGTGGGAGGTACTTTTTTTGCAGGTGAATATCCAACCTGTGGGTCGCAGGTTGTAGCTGCCAGCAAAGCCCAGTTTAACGAAGCAGAGATGTGCACCTTTCTCCCACTTCAGGATGGGATGGAGGTTTAGGACCTGGTCTTATACTTTCTTGAATGAAAACACTAAGAAATAGTCTGTGTGTAAAAGGTTTGTGAATCCTGATTTCTCATCTGCAGCTCCCTGTAGACCTGAAGCAGATGCCTAAAGGACCTTCCTGTTCCTTACAGAGTAGCTTCACCTCCCCTTCATTGCAATGGCATGACTTTTCACTCCTTCCTCTGCTCCAATGACTCATTTAAGACTGCAGCTCCACTCTGGACATCAGGAAGACAAAATGTAATTGCAAACAGGCTGAATGTTGCCTTGTCTAAGACCTTTGCAGGCACAGTCATAAGCTCTTCGAGGCACTGCACATTTCCTTTGGTCTAGCTGTAGGCACATCACCACAAGGTCTGAGTGCCTTCTGAACAATAATCTGTCCCCCCAGAAAACAATTTGACATATGTGAAACTGAGGCACAGGTAGATTAAATGTCTTTTTTTAGCTTTGTATGTGAAACACTGAAGAGTTGCAAACCACTTTTGTGTAGCCCATTGTGTCAGAAACAAATCCATGACCTTACAATGTCTTCTAGCGAAGTATGTTGGATATGTTACCGAGCACAAGTATAACGTATTATTTATCTCAGCAATTTTTTTGTTTTGACTAAAAGCAATGTCTAAAGCCAGCCTTGATGATTGCTTTTGCTAAAGGTGAGCACCTCTGCAAAACTGTAGGTTCCCTGATCTTCCATTTTTAAACAAACAAGTTTGCACTCTGATAGCAGCAGAGCCTCACACATTGTGACCTGTAATCTTAGGCAGTGTGTCTGCACTAAAAACAGACAGCGGCGATCTGTCCCAGACAGAGAAGCAAAATCTTAGCTTAAAATGGTGACAATGTGGACTGTGTTAGACATAAAGCATTCTTTAGAAACACCGCTGGTATGGGAACAGTGTACATATTGCTTTTTAATTTCTGGAAGACACCAACATGGGAGATTCATGTCAGCCATGCCTCTGTTCCCTAGCTCTGCTTGGAAATGTTGTAGGTCATTAATCTGTCCTCTTGGGCAGGGTTTTTGTGCTTGGCATGGTGCACATTATTGCTTTCTGGAAATGCTGCTTTTCAACAACTTCATTTGAAAGAGAATTAAAAAAACCTAGTTTACATAACTCAAGTTTGGTGTTCTCAGGATTATTTCAGATATAAAAATCCCCAGTTTCTGAGTTTGCCATTGCCCTCCTTGACGTTTTACGTGGATTCTGTAATCAGTAAATGTATAAACTGCAGAGGTTAACTGTTCACTTTGACATCTGAAACTGAGGCAAGTGGAATATTAATAATTTGTGTTGTGGTCGAGACTACTTTTATGTGGTATCTCTGTTTACATTTACCAGGAGCTGTTGGAGCAGTTAATGCTGTGGTGCTGCAAGACATGAATCAGAGGCTAGTTATTATAAACCAGAACAAATAACTAAACAGCACTGCTGTCTTTTCAGTGCGTGCTTCACAGTTGAGCTTATCCTGGATATCTCAACCTTCTTGACCCATCCCATTGCAGTGACGTGAGAACAGATCGACATGAACTTTCTGAAATCCACTCAGGAACAGCATCCCTCAACCTTGCTGTCCGCTGGTGGTGATCCTGAGCAACCTGGGTGTTGCAGTACCAGGACACTGTGTCCTCCCATGGGCCACGGCTCCTGATGACTGAAAACCTGTCATAAGGACAGCTGAGAAACTGGTGTGGTGTTGTGTGGGTCTCTGCAGTGAGACTGGCTGTCTGTATTGATTTGGTCTGGACTGCTTTTGAACGAAAACTGAATATTAGAAGTTGAGGCTGAAGGGAAAGCTAGAATATCACAGTTTAACTATAATTTCTAAGTATAATATATACTAAGCAATCTGTAATAGTAATATATATATATAAACTTTTTACCAGTACATGTAGTGATAGGCCAAAGGGGAATGGCTTTAAACTGAAAAAGGGTAGGTTTAGATTAGATATTGGGAAGAAATTCTTCACTGTGGGAATGTTGAGGCACTGGTACAGGTTGCCCAGAGAAGCTGTGGATGCCCCATCCCTTACTTTTAAAACCCTGTCTGTCTCATTCATCCATGCGTTTTTTGAAGATGCGCAGTATTCCTGGTAGTTTTTAGAGAGACTTCCTTTCTAACCACGTTATTCTTTCAGGATCTGTATATTACAGTCCCAAGAAGGAGGTAAATGTGAGAGAGAACCTGGAGCTTCTTAGGGCACATCTTTTGTCTGCTTAAACCTGTGCACTGAGATGAGCAACATTACACTTGCAACCCCTTTTAAGTTGATATGATTCCAGCGT